GTTAGTTTTTCAGTAGGTTTTTGCACAACCTAGAATTGAGTCTTGCAGTGCTAAAGATTGTGCTCTAGTGAATAAAAGCAGGTAGAATACCTTTTAATTTGTATGACTTGCATCCCCTTAAAGTCCTCTAGGCTATTTGAACAGACGACAAGCCCCCCAAAAGAGTATTTTCTTTTTTCCTATAATTTTCTAGGTGGGCAAATTCAACCTGGGCTATTAAAGACTAAGTTCAGCTCTCCATATTCCATCCCTTGTATCTTCCTCGATTTGCTTGTTATGAAAGATCTGGTTCTTAGAGTGCTGCAACTAGCAATGTGGTTTTTTTTTTTTTTTTTTAATGGTATCTTAATCTTCGTAGGCAAGAGCTACTCTCAAAGGAACAATTGCCTGCAGTTTTCCCAGGGACACTGAAGCACAGGATACACCTGCATTTGATGTGTGTCCAGGATCTGAGGTTAGGAATTGCTGTTATTGATGATACCTAGGACAAGGCAGCCCTGTTTATACTCACTGTATTGGTTGCAGCACTGATTGTTATGGTATTTTGTTTTTCCTGGTACCATATGTATAGGAAACAACAAGAAGTAAGCAATAGAAATGCCATTTTTTGAAATGCCACTCATGTAAGTCATCCCCAATTTAAAAAATGAAACTGCTTTTACAGAAACCATGCAAAACTATTGTCAAGACTTGTATGAAATACTTTAGCATCCTAATAATAACTTCTAGCAGAAAAATCTTGGCATACTGCAGTTTAGGAAAGGATTTTAAAATTCACCTTCAGTTTTTGGGCAACAGGCAAAACATGTGGCTCTGTTTAGGAGCTATTTTCGTTAAAGCTTGACAATACAGGATGATAAAATACAGCTGCATTGTTTAAACTTTTAATTTAATTTCTGGGTTTTCTCCAAGCTGTTTCACCAATATGGCGCCGCTCATTTCCAAACAAAGCTCTTGGAAGAGCCTCCGTGTCCCACCACTGATCAGGAGAGTGTTAAAATGTGGAACCTAATTATGTTCCTGGCCTCCTTGGAATTCCAAAACTGGATTTTTCTAATTGTCAAATTTGTAATCAGGCTAACTTTCTATGCCAAGTAGTTTGAATTATTAGAGCCCTTATTGCCAGGGGGTCAGAAGTAATGGGGCTATTTGGCTTTTCAAGGCTCTCTAAGTATCAAAAGCAACTTCTATCTTGAAGAATGGCCATTTTACTGCAACATTGTCCACACTTAACTGCACCCCAATGGCTACTACTGTTACAGCCATTTTTATCCATTCTCCAGGGCTGAGTCGTTTCCACAAGCTCTGCAGATACGATTAACTCCCAAGTCTGTCTTGTTGCACAACAGGACTTGGGAAATCTTGACGTGAGAAGCTTCGTCCTTAAATAGACAAGTATTAAAGCTGCTTATTGTTTAGGCATCTTCAAAGTGAGTTGAACATAAATATCTGTACAACCTGTCTGGATGACCACGATCTCTTCTCAGTCTGGCTGACCTCTGCATCCCAGTTAAAGCCCATTCCTGTGGGTGTTAGGCTGAGCACAGGCTTTTACCTTGAGAGATTTGCCCAGGCAGAACTCCCTTCTTGATAGAGCTCTAAGAAAGCCAAAAAAACACAAAAAGAAAAACAGGAAACTGTAATAAAAGAGAGAGAAAAAAAAAAGGAAGCCCACAGGCCTATTAAGTCTAGTTTATACTTCACTGTGCTGTCTTCAGCTCTGTAAACCAGAGTCTTGCAGAAACATGGTGCTTTAGTCTGAATGCTGATGCATGAGTCTGTGTGTTCACAAACCCTTAAAGCTTTCCTCGTTCCATGTGCAACATCTATTTTAGAGGCATCTGTTCAAACCGCAGATGACATCTCTTGGCCTGTTGATGTCAACAGATTTTTGTCATCAGCTTCAACTTTTAAATATTAATTGCAGCATTGCTGTCTGGCATTAGCAGAGAGAGAGAGCCTGTATTTTTTTATAATTTGCATTTATTTGAGTCATTTTTCAGTGGCAGCATCTACTTAAAATTTTCCCCTTTCCCTCTGCCTCCTCTCCCTCCTAGCCCTGCACTGCCCTTTCCATCACACTTACCCAGGCATTTCTGCAGCCACTTGGTTTAGGGAATTGATGTAGCTAAAAAAATGACAACATTTAGCGGGGTTGGCTTGTTTTTCAGTGAATCTGTTTCCAAGTCTGGTCATCTGTGAGTCTGTGTGTGTTCCCACAGACTCCTCCTAAAATCAGAGGTGGCAACTTCTTAAACTTGTGAGGCTGTAGCAGTCCTACCTGATGTCACTGTCACCTCTGTGTCTAGCTGGGCACTAGATTTAACTGGCACCTAGAGTATCTCTGGGCCCACTGACCTGTGTTTACCTGACTTGACGTGTGTGACTATTTCTGACAAAGAAAGGTGCAATAGAGCTTTACATAGGCAGAGACCAAGATGTTTGGACTTTGCCCTGGGAGGAAAAGGAGTTGTAATCAGCTCTGTTTTAATTAAATCAACCTAAGCTAAATGTCAGCTGATACAAAAGTGTTGGTCAGCTCATAAAGGAGCAATGAAGATTAAACGAGTAGTTGCCACGAACAGGTGGTAACTCTGTTTCCGAGTTAGACCATATTATTCTCTGGCACAGGAACCCTGAGAATACCTCATATTCCAGTTTAAAAAAATGTTTATGAAACTTATAAAATATAGGACTCGTTTTATAACCAATTTTCTATCTTACCTGCCAAGAGGAGCTGGGGTTTGAGCCAGCACAAGGCGGACGCCAAGTTTTAGGCAGCCATCCAGAAACAGAGTCCCGGAGCGGTGCTGTGGAATATATTTCTACCTCTGATTGTCCTTTCTTTTACAATTCTTTTGGTTTAGTTTTCTCTTTCTAGTTGCTGTTGCAAAAAAAGGCAATGGGTGCATCTTTTAATGTCACTGATTTAGGCCTGGCGCTGGTGTGCAAAAGGAGAAGCTCACTATGCTGCAGTGTGCACTGTGGTTTAATTCTAGATGTCTCCTGAACTAATAACGGGATCCCCCTTGATTTGGGCCTTGCTATTTCTGCTGACTCTGCAGTTCTTATGGGAGATATAAAGCGTTGATCTAATTTTAACTGGAAAGAATTAAACTGAAATCTTTATCTGCACCTCGAAGTAAAAGCAGAAACGTGGTAGTTTGTAGTTGCTCTTAATGGTGGAATAATCAAAGATAATTTATTATGTAGTGGTTGTTATATTTTCAGTTAATAGTGTAGAGCTATGTAATTCAGAGAATTTTGTTATGGTTTGCTAGTCATCTACTCTGATGAAAGACTTTCTGCAGACCACTGACTTGTTGCAGTGGTGATGAGTTATATCTCAATAACCACTTTTTGTGACCACCCTTCTCCAGAAATCTCATGCAGGATGGAGTAGGTTGGTCTTGTGTCAGGTCCTGATACTTGGCTTAGACGCTGTAAGACTAGATTAATTAATTTCCTTTTCCTCACCAGTCTTCACCTTTCATGGAGTACAGCCAGGCTGCGTTGAGCTGCACTAATACAGCTGTTTGGTAGAGCTCTAGCAGCAGGATCTAGAAGTGAAGTTCAGCTCTTACCTGAGTACACTCCTTGTACATCCACTTTGGCTTTCCTTGAAATGGAAGGATCTGCTGTGCACCAGGAGAACCAGGAAGAGCCTGTGATGCCTCCCTTGGGCTAAGAGCCACCCTGGAGAACTGGGCTTTGCTCGGCTCCTTGGTGAAGACAAAGACAGTAAGAAAAGCAGCTCCAAGACAGCTGCTCTCTTGGAGTAGGGGGGAAGATACTAGAGATATAGCCCAATCCTTACTTTATAATATGTTTGCAGTAGCAAAAACAGGGAGTTTTTTAACTCCTGGTGATCCCCCTGTGAAGATCAGGAATAGGGCAACCGCTGTTCAGCTCTAACAACATGCACTGAACCATGTGGGATCCCACACTAACAAAAAGCACATTCAAAGCAATTATCTGATTTGTTTGTTTTTTAATCCAATGTTTTGAGGCACTGGTACAACAAACACTCTATAAAATCTTGTAACAGTTGTTTGTAGTTAGAGAGCACAAGATGGTTGCATGTATTCCGGTCAGGACCAATATACATCACTCCAGTGTGCCCCTCATCCATCAGGGTTGGGGGGTTTTGATACCAGGACACTTGTTTCTTCAGCTTGTTTAGCATTTTTCTTTCTCCTGCTTTTTATCCTTCTATGCAAGACAACGTAGGTACTGGTTTCATCATTTACTGTGCTTTCCAGACAAAAGTGCTTTGTGGTTCACAGGCTTAAATAATTAGGTCTCACAGAGCTCAGAGCAATTGACAGGAGTGCCTGGAAGCGCAGCTCTTATGTGTGGAGCTCTAAAGACCTCCAGAAGTAATGGCCCAGCTCATGAGCAGAGCAGACCTGGTTCCCAAAGCAGCCTCCAGCTTGCTGAGCACTAGGAGATGCTGCTGGCCACGCCGCTGAAGCCCTTTCCCCTCCCCACTTGATTTCCTACAGTCTTTTTTATCAGCAACTCAGATTATTTTAGCACAGGCAGTAGCTGCTGGGCAGGTTTTGGGTTCTTGCAGTGGCTTGGCCATAACGATGACTCTGGTGCTCCTGCCTGGAAGCAGGGGCAGATGCTACCATACTCTTGAGACAGTGACTGCTCTCTTCCAAAAAAACCCCTACACATTGCAGAGTGGCGCAGCCTGTGTAATTCATTAGGTTTCTCTGTGGCTGTATTTTTTGGAAGCATCATTTCCAACAGAGCTTTTACAGGCGTATTTCGGCACTTGGGAAGCAGGAGTGTTGTGCCTGGGCCCACGTGTCTGCCTGTGGGTGGGAAGAGGGGAAGCGCTGGCAAGCACACACGAGAGCTGCAAGCGCTTTCATTCCCACCCAAGATTCGCTCCACAAGCTGAGTAAACGTTGCCTTCGTGGAAGCAGTGCTGAGCAGGACAAGGATTTGACGTGTTCCTGGTGATAATTGCCTTGTCTTCCCCCCCACAGGTTCATCTGGCCGACAGCACCGTTACTATCCCAGGCTTGACCGTAAGTGGACACTTCAAAAATCGCATCAGAACAGCAGCTGCTAGTGAAACGGGGGCCTACGCTGCTGGGGACACCCGGCCTTGCAGGGCTGGCCTGGTCAGGTGGCAGGGGCTTCACAAGGAGGGTGACTGTGAGTCTCTGCCTTCTTTGCCTCAGTTTTCCCCCAAAATGAGAGGAATCATAGAATCCTGAAGGTTGGAAGGGACCTCTAGACATCATCTAGCCCAACCCCCTTAAGGGCACACACAGCATTTCCTAGAGCATGTGGCACAGGGCTGCATCCATGTGGGTTTGGAAGATCTCTAGAGAAGGAGACTGTACAACCTCTCTGGGCAGCCTATTCCAGGGCTCTGTCACCCTCACTCTTAAGAAATTTTTCCTGAAGTTCCTGTGGAACTTCTGGTGCTGCAGTTTGTGGCCGTTTCCTTCTAGTTCTGTCAGTGTCCACCACTGAAAAGAGGCCGCCCCATCCTCCTCACTGCCTCCCTTGAGGTATTTATACACGCTGATCAGGTTCCCCCTCAGCCTCCTCTTCTCCAGGCTGAACAGACCCAGCTCTCTCAGCTTTTGCTCATAGGGCAGATGTTCCAGGCCCCTGATCATCCTGGTAGCCCTGCGCTGGACTCTCTCCAGCAGCTCCACATCCCTCTTGTACTGGGGAGCCCAGAACTGGACACAGTCTCCAGATGTGGCCTCACCAGGGCTGAGTAGAGGGGGACGATCACCTCTCTTGACCTGCTGGAGACGCTCTTGTTAATGCACCCCAGGATCCCGTTGGCCTTCTTGGCCGTGAGGGCACTGCTGCCTCATGGTCAACTTGTCATCCAATGACGCCCAGGTCCCTCTTGACAGAGCTGCTCTCCAGCAGGTCAGTCCCCAGCAACAAATCATATGTGTTGTTCCTAATGTATATCATAAGGGTGATGTTCCAATCCATCTTTAGCAGCTGTGATGTCAAGAAAGCCCCCAGAAAGGTATCTGAAAGTGAAGTGGCCATGACCTTGTTTGCAATTGTGGCTTGCCTGTAAGGGGCCAGACTTCCCAGTCTTGGGCAACGTGGAGCCTGGTGTCCTGTTATGCCTGAGCATTTCTGTCTGTGACCTTCATCCTGGGGGCTCTGAATAGGTTTCTTCAGAGAAGACAGAGTTGACTTAGCTCTAAAGGTGTCATTTGCCTTGGGATGTGCTGCTGTGTGATCTGTACGTCTCTAAGCAGATGGTAGAAATAGCTGGTGATAGCTTTGGTATCTGTGCAAAAGCCCAGCCAAGGTTTTAAATCTGACCATGCATCTACACTGATGGTTAATCACTGGGCACCAAAGATTTACCCAAGAGTCAGAGAAGGGCTGTTGTGTCTCATGGCCCCATGCAGATTTTACTGGAAATGAAAAGCTTTAGAAGGACCTCCAGGAGAGATGTGTGTGCTGAGCAGATGGGTTACCCAACAAGGCTGTTTCTGTGCAGGCTGCGGTGGGACTAGCAAAGGTGGGAAGGACTAAAGGGCTTGAACTGATGCTGCTCAGTGAGAAAAGCCAATTTATTCCTTGTTCCGAATGCAACCTCTGCAGGAAAATAAGCATCCAGAGCTCACAGACTCAAACGAAGCCGCGAATCCAGCCAAGCTTCTGTCTTCCTGCCCCTACCAATACTGAGGTCCTTGTCCTTTCATGCCCACTGCTCCCGTGTGTCACAGGACATGCCACTGTTGGGCGTTTCGTACCAGTTCCTTCCTTCCTTAGCTGCAGTTCTGCAGTGCAGAAGGGGCTATTTGCCCCATGCACAGCTGGAGTGGCCACTAGGCAAGTATGGCAGAGGGGTAGCTTAGCTGGCTGCACCTCCTGATGGACCTGCTGCACCGAGCCACCCACTTAGGACTCGGTCCTCAGGGCCCATATCTGAATAGAAAAGTCAGTCCTAGTTTTCTGCGAGTAGAGTTATTGGTTTTTATCCTAGTTCTCCCCTTTCCTAATCTATTCCACAGTTAAAGATGCTGTACTTGGATCTCTCCATTAGTTGGACCTTCTCTGGCATGTGCATACACATTTCAACACAGTGGCCCTCACACTCTGTGCTCTTGGAGCTGCCATGTGGAGGGGCACATGGAAGGGTATCATACTGGCAGAACTTATATTCTCACCCTCTGAATTCCTGGTTATTGACCCAGCTACAAGGCAGTCGTGTTTCCTCTATTTCGATTTGTCTTTTTGTTGTTGTTTTTGTTCAATGTCCATACAGGGCGCAAAGTGATGGTTCTTTCTGTGCATCGGGGATCTTTGAGGAGACAAGATATTAAATCAATTTAAAATTAAGTTTATCCCATTGCTAACATCTGTTGAAGCACCTGTTGAAAGCATCTGTTGAAAGTTAAGGCTTTGTCCAGACAAAAGTCTAACTTAGGCTCTTATTTTTCTGCTAGCTTGATGATGGGGGTTGGAAGATATCAGCTGGTTTGTTTCGTTGGGAGAAAGGGAAGGAGGATTTATCTGTGCAAAAAATCCTCCTCATCAGCAGTTCAGTTTAGAATTTCTGTAGTTATCCTGTGCTAAAAGACATTTCCTTCTATGGTTTGTTCTTAGCTCCAAATGATCTGCTGATTTTTAGGATGTGGGCTAGACTCTTTGGGAGTATGGTCAGACAGCAAGGCAGGGAGATGTTGTCCCTCGTGCAGCTGGGACTCACTCCGGGCTTTTCAGGCTAAGGACGTTGAAACTTTTCTAATAGGAGTGTCTAAACTGCTTAAGGTTTTTTTCATGGGCTTTTTCTACTCCTTAACGAGCTGCATCCTGATACCCTGGGAGCAACTGGTGACGTTGCCTCAGGCAAGATGGGAAGGTGCTGTGGTGTGATGCTTACACAGTGCTTTGGAAATGGGAGTTGCTGCTGTATTTCTGTACTGTACGTAAAAGACTGGCTGTTCTCTGTAACACTGTGATGTTCCTCATAGGTTCATAACTGCTACGATATAGAGATCTGCAGATGCTTCTGGCCATACTCGGATAATTTTAAACCGTGCCCAAGGTGGGTGTCTCTGTGGGTGTTTCCCATTGGCTGTTTCTAGGTATTCAATCCATCAGAAACTCTTAGTTTCAGGGACTAAAGCGGAATTTAAACTATCTGAATATAGTCCTTTGCATCAAATCAAATGATTTGTTAAAGCATGGCCAGCTTTGTAGGGAGAATCAATCTTTTTTACTAGATCAACTGATGTGGAAAAAAAAAGCAGACAAACTTCCAGGCATATTAACTCTTGTCCTGAGCTACGTTTGCATTACAAGAAGTGGAGAATAGAGCGCACATTTGGACACACGTTCACACTATCTCTTGGTGGCCAGTTCTTGGACATGACTGCAAGGGACGCCAGGGAGAAGATGTGTCTCCCCGCGTGTTTGAAAACTAGATGTTGCTGCACAACAAACAATAGTCTGTGCTCCACAGCTGACACGTTGTGCAAGTCTGAGGCTGATTACAGAATCCCTCTGTGCCCCCATTTCCATCTGTAAAATGTCACAGATGCCCACCATTCATAAATCGCTTTCAGATTTCCAGATGAGGTGCTGTGGAAGTGTAGAATAGTGTGAGTTTATACATATTGTGCTACAGCATAATATAAACCACATGCAACTGAAGAGTCTCGCAGATGTGGCCCTTTCAATTGCAAAAGGCAAGGTCTCGGCCGATGATTTAGCACTGCACTAATTGGGCTAAAACGGGAGATTGCTTTTGTGCTAATGAAATTGTCACCATTAGAGTCTCCATTTAACAACAGTTTTTGGAGATAACCTGGTTATTTCCTATTGATAAAAAGCAGAGTGTCTTGAGTCTTGAAACACAGCAATTAGTAGCAAATGTTGACATGCTGATAGCAGCCCCTGCGCTGGCTGTCCTCGCGCTTCAGGAAGGGGACTGCTCTCTTGTTTATTTTGAATGTGCATTTTGCTTGTCCTGTAGCTGCACTCAGCACTTTTTTTGTTGCCTGCAACCTTTTGGGCATATCTTCATCTCAAAGCAGAGGCATTTGACCACTCATTTCCATTGCCATTACCGAGTGTTGCATACACAGGAATCCTCATTTATTGATAAGAAAGCGGCTCTCATTGCTGCAAAGGAATGAGAACCTGGCAGCTGTTCAGCATTAAGTCAATTCTCAAAGTTTAAAGGATTTGTGGGCTGTGATTGTTTGGGTTTCAGCAATTAGCTTTTGTAAAGTGCTGGAGAGTGTCTTCCAGATACATTTCATGGAAAAGAGGAACTTAAACCAACTAAGAGACTTGATTTGCTTAAGCACTTCAGAGTTTCCTGATAAGGCTTTTGGGGCAAAATTCTCGGTGGCTAAATTCTTGGTGGGTGTAAAACATAGGGGCTCCTTTGACTCCTATGAGTCAAAGAGTAGCGCAGTACTGGAGGTGAGTGCGTGAAGAGGCTGGCATAGGAGGGAGGCTGGTTGATGTGCAGCTTTGCAGCTTCACCCAACATTTGCTGGGCTGCAGGAGAAATCGGCCCTGGCCTGGCTGGGTCTTTGCTCACGTGTCTGAACATGCTGTTTAAAGCAACAATTTGGAGACAAGTTTCAAGGCGGAGGCAGCTAAAACCTCACAGTGAAGTTCCTCGACCTCCCACAAATGCAGTGGCTTTTGCAGGCACGCGAGCTATGTTGGTCATAGTTGCGTTGGCGTCATAAATCCAAGAAAGTGCAAACAGGCAATTTGCAAATAAGGGCTCGGTCTCATCAGAGAGTATCAGGGTGTTCATCTGCTGCAGTCAGATATTTCTCACTAAGGACCACGCTGGTGGGCAAGGATGAGAAAGAAGGTGATTCCTTAGCCTTTAAGACATCAATTGAAATTATTTTTTTATTTTCTTCTACTCTTCCTAACTGAGAGAAGATCACAGGCCAGAGTTAAGCAAATAGAAATAATCCAAGCTACAGCAGAGGGATGTTTAGTCCCTAGATGGGGACGTGTTTTATGAGCTTGGAGTTAAAAACAGCAGGGTGGAGAAGTT